GGAGAAAAAAAAAAAAAAAAAAAAAAAAAAAAAAAGATACAGATTCAAACTCAAAGGATGTATGGAAACCTAGAATAAAACAGGAGTTGCTGTTCCAATTTCAGACATAATGATTCCAATAAAACTGATTTGCAAAGACAAAAAGGTTCAGCACATATCAGGTAAGACACTAATTCAAGAAGAAGAGATAGCAATTATATGCACCAGATTCCACTGAACCCAATTCATTAAACTAATACAATGGACTTAAAAAATGAGAAAAAAATATCAATACAATATTAAAAGGGACATCAATACTCCAGTGTCACAAATGGACAGATGAACTACAAAATATTTCAACTAAGAAATGCTACAGTCAAAACAAAATTTTGAAAAAATAGATTTAATATATATCTGCAGAGGGTTGCATGCTTAGTACTTGCCAAAGAATCAAATAATCCCACGCCAATCATCAGATCATAAAGCCATTAAACTATAAATCAAAAGCAAAAGAAAGCACATAAACTGTTCCAACATATGAAACAATAATTTAGACTTGAATAATCAATAAATCACAGATCAAGTTAAAGTAGGACCTAGATGTTTTTACACTCAAATTATAATGTCAGTATCATATGCCTGAACACCTGGGATACAAACATAACAGGCTTTATAAGGTACATCATAGCAGTGAATGTCCATATCAGAAAAATAGAAGAAGCTGAAATAAATAACCTAAACATCAAGTTTCTTAAACAAAACGGCATAATCCAAATCCAAAACTCTTATGAGAAAGTACATCATAATACTTATGCAAAAACTAATGAATTTCAAACTAAAATTCAATACAAAAATCAATGAAAAGAAAAGTTATTTCTTTTAATGTTTAAAAACAATAAAAAAATCCTTCAGCTAAACTTCACCAAAATGACATTATTACAGATTTTGCTAAATCTGGATCATTATCAGTATCTATTTTTAGATCCTATACTTTAACTAAAAACAATATTCATAACAAATAGATCATGTACTCGATACTTACATATAACCAAATGTGAAAAATAAGATATCAATACCTGAATAAGCCAAAAAGTCGGTGAACTTGAGAAATAATAAAAAAGAATTTACTAAGGAAAGCATGTGTCCTGACATAGTCACTACTGAATTGCACTACTACTGAGAAGAAGATTTAATGCCAGTATTCCTGAAACTCTTTAATGAAATCAAAGCACACCTGTACTCCACATTCATTCCTGCAAAAAGCATTATGGTGATTCCAAAGCCAGAAAATAAGTAAACTGGAAAAATGGAACCATGGGCCAATCTCTTTAATAAACCAATATACAAAATATCTTAGGAATACAGACAACCAGTATGTAGCAAATCTCAAAAAGCTCATTCATCACTCAAGAGATCTAAGGATGGTTCAACATTCTCAACTCAATAAATGTAAAACATTACATGAAATATACCAAGGTTGAATGTAACCTGACCTTCTCAATAGACAAAGATAAAGCATTTTACAAAAAGCAACATTCATTCAATGCAAAAAAAAAACTATAAAAATTGGAAAAGAAAGTCATTATGTTAATCTGAGGAAAGCCATCTCTGACAAACCATTGGCCACAATTATAGTAAATATGGAGTAGGTGAAATTATTGCAATTAACTTCAAGATCAAGACAGGATGACATCTATCACCACTTTTGTTTTATATAGTTCTTGAAACATTAGCAAGAAAGGCAGCATAAGAGACACAAATAAAACTAGTATGGGTGGGGATAGAAGAAGTTAAACTCAGTATTTGCTAATGATGTAATTATCTCCACAGAAAACCCCAAGAACTCCACCAAATGACTCCTGGATCTGACAAGCTCATTTCATAGTATAACGGAACACAAAGACTGTACTCAAAAATAAATAGCGTTCCTGTACACCAATAGCAAACTCAGTGAAAATTAAGTAACTTTCAGTAATATACTCAAGTAAATTATTTAAAATATACTTTAAATTTTTACCCAGAAAAATGAGATGCTGGGAAATTAATTGAACCTAAGACGTGAAAGATATCTACAGTGAAAAGTATGGTTTTCTAGCAGTAATGTTGAAAAGGATATCAGAATATGGAAAGCTATCCCTGTTCCTGAATAGGGAGAACCAATATTGTCAAAATGATTATGCGTTCTAGAATATTATTTAGATTTAAATAATAACGCTTAAAATACCAATGTCACCTTGTGGAAGCAGAGAAATAAATCCTTACATTCATATAGAATTCAAAGAGGACCATAATAGACAATCCACATCTGCGCAACAAGGACAAGGCAGGTGCATCACAATCCTAGGCTTCAAGTTATATTCCAAAGCTGCACTGATAAAAACACCATGATATTGTTTTAAGAACAGACTCAAGGATAAATGGAGTAGAACAGAAGGCATAAAAACAACGCTAGTCACACTCAGCTATCTTATTTATGAGAAAGGACCAAATCCCTCTGTTAGAGGAAAGATGGACTCTTTAACAAGTGGTGCTGGGAAAACCAGCAGACCAACTCTCTCAACCTGGACCACACTAAAGTCAAAATAGGTGAGAGATATAAACATTATGCCAGAAATATTTCATCTCCTGGAAGCTCAAAGAGGTAAAACACTTGCAGACACAGGTGCAGGCTATGGCTTTCTCAACAAGACTCAGGCTGCATGAGAAATAAAAAAGAGAATCAACAAAAGGGATCCCACTATATTAGCAAGCTTTTACACAAGAAAGGATACCACTAACAGAATCAAGAGACAACCTATGTGCAATGGAAAAGAAGTTTTGCAAGCTACCCCGGAGACACAGGCAGAGTTCATGAATAAAACCAAACTACAGGGG